CTTTTAGAACTCATGAGGGCCACTATGAGTTTCTAGTGATGCCCTTTGGCCTCACCAATGCCCCAGCCACGTTCCAGGCACTCATGAATAAGATCTTCAAATAGTATCTCAAGCGATTTGTTTTGATATTCTTCGATGACATCTTAGTGTATAGTAGAACAGAGGAAGAGCACTGAGGGCATTTGAAGAAGGTGTTAGAGGTTCTCCAGGAGCACTAGCTGAGGGCTAACTTGAAGAAGTGCTGCTTTGCACAAACCAGTGTGGAGTACTTGGGTCATGTGATATCCAAGGAAGGCGTAGCAGCAGATGAGATGAAGAGATTCCTAGGGCTTACAGGGTACTACAGAAGATTTGTGAAGGGATACAGCACTATAGCTTGGCCACTCACTGAGCAGTTGAAGAAAGATGGATTCTTATGGGGGGAGGCAGCTACGACAGCATTTGAGCAGTTGAAGAAAGCTATGACCACAGTTCCAGTCTTAGCTTTATCGGATTTTACTTAGTCTTAGTAGAGACAGATGCATCGGGATACGGGCTAGGAGCGGTGTTGATGCAGAGTCACAAGCCCATTGCATATTTCAGCCAGGTGTTGACTGCCAGAGCTCGGCTAAAATCTGTCAATGAGAGGGAGTTGATGGCAATTGTTTTGTCCATCCAAAAGTGGAGTCCCTACTTACTCGGAAGACATTTCATCGTCAGAACCGACCAACTGAGCCTGAAATATTTGCTGGAGCAGCGCATGGTGACAGAGGAGCATCAGAGGTGGCTATCCAAACTGCTCGGGTATGATTTTGAGATTCAGTACAGGCCAGGGGTAGAAAATAAGACAGCAGATGCCTTGCCCAGGTGCATGGGGGAGCTACATATAGTGGTTGTGTCAGTCCCAATGATGCTAGATTGGGAAGCCATAAAAGAGGAGAGTGCTAAAGACGAGGAATTAAACAAGATCAGAGCTGACTTAGTGAAGGAAGAGGGAGGCCATCCAGGGTACTCGTTGTAGGGGGAGAGATTGTTGTATCAGGGGAGGTTTGTGTTGCCCAGAACGTCAGTACACATCCCAAAATTGCTCCAGGAGTTCCATGGAACTGCAGTGGGAGGTCATTCAGGAGTGCTAAAGACCTATAGGAGACTAGCGGCAGAGCTGTATTGGAAAGGTATGCACAGAGATGTGGAAGAGATGGTATCCAGGTGAGAGATTTGCCAAAGAAATAAGTATCTAGCTATGTCACTACGGGGGTTACTGCAGTCATTGGCATTACCAGGGCGAGTCTGGGAGGAGATGTCTATGGACTTCATTGATGGGCTACCCCGCTCTGAGGGGTTCACTGTGATTTTGGTGGTAGTGGATAGATTGAGAAAATATGCTCACTTTATTCCTCTACGTCATCCATACACTGCGGTGACAGAAGCGTCAGTCTTCATCAGGGAGATAGTCAGACTACACAGAGTGCCAGAGGCGATAGTATCAGACAGAGATAAAGTGTTCCTCAGCCATTTCTGGAAAGAATTGTTCAGACTGCAGGGGACGGTGCTGAAGAGGAGTACGACTTACCACCCACAGACGGATGGCCAAACAGAAGTAGTCAATAGGATCTTGAAAACTTATCTGAGATGCTTCGCATCAGAAATACCCAAGCTATGGGCTAAATGGCTATCATGGGCCGAGTACTGGTACAACACCTCTTTTCATTCAGCCTCTCAGATGACCCCATTTAAGGTGTTGTACGGAAGGGATCCGCCCCACTTAATGCATTTGGGAGTAGCAGCACACCCATGTCTTCAGTAGAGGAGTACTTGGAGGAGAGGGATAAGACACTGGAAGAGTTATAAAGACATCTGTTGAGGGCTCAACAGATTATGAAGAAACAAGCTGAAGGGCATCGGAAGGATATTCAGTTTGAGGTGGGCGAGAGGTATTTTTGAAACTCCGCCCATATCGACAGAAAACGGGTCGCCAACTGGAGAAATGAGAAGCTTGCTCCACGATACTTTGGGCCTTGTGAAGTGTTGGCGAAAATTGGAGCCGTGGCATATCGTTTGCAGCTACCAACTACGGCGACGATCCATCCCGTTTTTCATGTATCCCAGCTGAGGAGAGCCATTGGGGATTATGCTACCAGTACGAAGTTACCAGGGACATTAACTGAAGAGATGGAGATGATACTAGAACCTTTGGAGCTCATGGATGTTCGTCAGAAAACAGATGGAGCCACAGAAGTCCTGATCAAATGGAAGAACCTCTCTGACTACGAGGCCACGTGGGAGCCATACGAGCCGGATGAAGCGACAGTTTCCTGACTTCCACCTTGAGGACAATGTGGTTCTTTGGGAGGGCGGTAAAGTTAGACCGGTCCTCTTTGGACCGGTCCAGCCGCCCAATCCATTGGGCCGGCTCAGTTCGTCTACAGGCAACGGGAACGGGCGGAAACAGAGGGGAAGCCGGCGGAAGATTGAGGAGAATTTTAAGTGGGGTCCACTTGTCTTTGAATTGGTATCTTAGAGCCAAAAGGTGTGGGAGCAAGGGCAATTAGGTCCTTTTATGTTATTTTTGAATGGTATGCATTAAGTAGGGAGAAAAGGAGAGATTAGGGAGGGGGATATTTTTATAAGAGTTTTCTGGTTCTTCTTTAGTGTTTAGGGCTCTAGATCGAATTCTAGAGATTGGGAGTGTGCGATCCTCCTCACGAATAGAGGATCCTTGTATCTTTGCTATTTTCCTTGCATCTACTAGTAAAATACAAGTCTTTTCTCCAAGTTTCCTGCAGTTTTTCCCTATTTTTTCTTCAGTTTTGGGTTGTTTTCCTGCTGTGGACAGTTGTTTGTCTTGAGAGTTGTGGTAAAAGTGAATAGGAAATACTTGAAATCAAGTATTTCCTATCATGAAGTTACCCACAATCACCATTATACACACGGTGTTCCACATATCACAGTTGAGAAAAGCTATTGGGGATCATGTAGCTAGTTCAGAATTACCAGGGACATTGACAACGAATATGGAGGTAATGCTGGAACCACTGGAGCTGAAAGGGGTACGACAACGAGAGGGTTGATTCAAGGAAGTGCGGATAAAGTGGAAGAATCTATCTGACTATGATGCCACCAAAGAATCATATGAGAGAGTGAAGCATTAGTTTCCTTCTTTCCACCTTGAGGACAAGGTGGCTCTTTGGAGGGGTGGGGAGTATTGATAGACCGCTCCAACCTATTCCACCTACAGTAAAGTCGCTCCCTTTGGGGGTGGAGTCCAGCAATCAATTGAGGGAGAATTAATGGGAATGTAAAAAGGGATTATCAAATTAGAATGGTTGTTTGGGTAGTTTACTCAATTAATTGTATGCTTAAATATGTTTGAAAGCTAGGGTTAGGTTTTCATCTCTGATTTTTGCTGAAATTAGAGTTCTTTTGTTCTTGAGTGAGCTCTAGCGGCATCTAGTGTCAAGAGAGCCGGATCTTCCTCTCCAATAGAAAATTCATTGTATCTAGTTGCATTTCTTCGATTATTATCAATTAAAAAGTTCAATTCTGGTTTTTCTTCCAAGTTCTTCTCAATTTCTGTTTTGCAAAATGCTGAAATTAAATTTCAGCAAGGGTGACTCTTGTTTCCTACAAGCATTTCCTATCATATAGAATATGTTGCATACGATGCTATTTAAATTATTTCATAGATTCAGCATTATATTAATTCTGTCCTTTAAATAAATTGACACGTTACGTATAAAAAAGAAGTGTCTTGGATCTCATAAGAAATTATTGGCCTCAGCATCGTGTTAGCATGTTTCGCCTCAACAAGTACTGAGAGATCAAGCATACTATTCAAACAAATTCGGAACCATAATTCATCAAAAAGATTGCAATACCAAATCAAATTGCCAAGATTAAGTATACATCTAATTTTGAACAAAATTCCATTATCAAAGCAAAGCAACAAACATGTATACAACTTCCATTTCATTCCAATCAGAAACCACAACTATACATAAATAAATAGAAGATACCGAGAAAACATAAAAAAGCGGTATTTTTTAGGACGCAAAACCCAATCCTATTATCATACTGTGAACAATAAATGAAACCTGTTCTTCTGTTCCCTCTCTGCCTGCTTATGAGCAAGTTCGGTTGCTGTGAATCCAAAGGTATCAAACTTGAGAGACGTCTCCAATGCTTGCCCTCCCATATCCTACGGTACAGGCAAAGAAGGGAACTCAGAACCAAAATTCATTTACAGCAGAAAACATAAACAGAAATATGCATAACAAGCAGGTAATAAATAACATCTACAAGATGAACAGAGATATGTGTAAGACAGGAAAGCTGAAATAATTTTGGCTGCACTTCTGCATGCATGATATAATAACAACTACCTTGATGTCTTCATCATCAAGAAAGTTATAGATGCTTTGTTTATTCACTTCAGCTCTATTTTTCCTTGAAGATGTAAATGTCTGTGGACTCCACCCTGCAAGATAAGAAAACGAAGTGAGACCATAAAAACCACAAACAAATGTTTAATCTATCCATGAAATTTCTAAATGTTAATTAAACTTACCCTCTTTTGAACCAACGGTATTATAATAGCCAGCAGAAAAGCCACCCTTAAATGCTCCATGAAAACGTCTTCGGCCTTCTTCATCTGTCACCTGTATCTCATATAATTTAGAACGTGAGAAACAATGACGCTAAAGAATCAGAATGATTTTGAGAAAGAAGTCAAAACTTAACCGACAAAAAATTTAATAAATATTAGATACATTCTAGATAAAAGTTTCATATCAATATGAAAATAGCTAAATTAATTTATAACCTGCTTAAAAAACATAGACATGTAACAAGAAAATTACTAAAAAGATACATATTAGCATTTAGTTTTTACAGGATAATGCATGAATAGAAAATAATACTACAATGACGGTTAAAGATACTGGTAAGGTTGCTGAACCAAATAACACGATATATATTGTTATAATTATAGGATGAAATTGTTTTGGAAGGTAATAATAAATAAAATAATGAGATATGTTATAGATTAGTCAAAAAGCCAAAATACAGTAAGCTCCACTAATGACATATAGAAGTAAAACCTTAGACTCATATGAGATATTGTTGAGATTTGGAGAGTTATAAAGGATATCACAATGATTTGGTTAAAAATATTCTGAAAACTAAGATATGTCAAATGATCAGAGAAAAAGAATTTTAATGGCCATATTTAAAAACAAAAGATATTTTTAAGATTGCATTAATTATAGAGGACCCAAACTTATAAGTTATATCATGAAACTATGGAAGAGACTAATAAATTATAGACTAACTTCAAAGCAACAAGTTGGTTTTAGGCAAAAAAGTTGCACTATGAAAGTGATTTTTAATTAAAACAATTAGTGGTAGCGTATAAAGAGCAAAGAAAGTACATTCATATGACTTTTATTGAACTTAAGAATGCATATGATCAAGTCACTAGACTTAATTCGCTAAGCATTAAAAAAAATATATGCATCAGAGTTTGATAGGTCGATTCACCCTGAACCAGCCCAGCCAGCTCAAGGACCGGCTCAGCTTTTCTACAAGAAGCGGAAACAAGTCCGCCTCCCTTGATCTTGTCCGCCCAAAAGGGTGGGCCCCACTTGTCTACTTGGATTCAAATTGAAAATGAGGGGGCGGCTAGGGCTTGGGAGGAAAATTAGATTATGAAAGCTTTTGTATTAAAGAGCATGAGAGGATTAGGAGGGATTACGTTTTGATTGATTGGAATTAGGGTTTCTGGGTGACTTGGTCTCTAGACTCTCTTGTCTAGAGATTTGGGAGAGACAATCCTCCTCTCGAATTGAGGATCGATTGTATCTTGCTTTGAGTTTTCCTTTGCTTTGTTTCCACTATCGAATCTATCGTTTCTAGTTTGCTTTGTCCAATTAACTTGTTTTTCTCGCTGTTTTGGACCGATTATTGTTAGAGTTGCTGGTGAACTCAACTATTTCCTCTTGGATTACTTGCGAACTCAAGTATTTCCTATCAAATTGGTATCAAAGAAAGTCTTGGGAAGGTAGATGGCTGTTCTTGGCAATTTCTAGCAGTGATTTTTGGTCCCGGAAAAAGGGAAGTTGCTGTTTTTGGAGTCCCAAACTCATATTTTGTGAATCTACAAACTCCGGATTGTGATGGCGAACAAGAAGGTGGATGCTTTGGAAAAAAGGTTTGAAGGGGAGATGAATCAAATCAAAACAACGGTGGAGGAAAGAATTTCCTCCATGGAAGGACAAGTAGCCGATCTCTAGGACATGGTGAAAAAAATGTTGGAAATCCAAAACCAAACAGTGGCTTCCATGACGAAAGGGGTGGAAGGAAAAAGCACGAATTCTGAAATTTGTAGGGAGAAATATGAGGTAGAAATCATGGAAGGATAAAGAAGAAGACCCCATCTAAAGCATGTCCAGAGGGAAGAAAGGGGAAGTGGATATGGAGAATGTCAGGAGGGATACTATGGCAACCAAGGTGTTGATTTTGAAGAAAGAAGAGGGGAATTCGAAAGGGGTTTGGGCTATGGCAGGGCAAGGGAAGACCGAGAGACGTGGGGAGGGCCTAGCGCTTGCGAGAGGGAAAGCTATGAAAGAATAAGGGGGAATGGTGGCGATCAGAAGGTTAGGAAGTTGAAGATGTCCATATTTAAAGGAGAAGATGCGTATGGGTGAATTTATAAGGTGGAACGATACTTCGCCGTCAATGGGCTAACGGAGGAGGAGAAGCTGACAGTGGCAGGCTTGGGCTTGGAAGGAAAGGCTCTATCTTGGTAACAGTGGAGAAACCAAAAGCGACCTTTCAGGAACTGGAGGGAATTCAAGGACTGCATAATAGAACGTTTCCAAAATGACTGGGAAGGAGATTTCTATGAGTAGTTCTTTGCTCTGACGCAGGAAGGATAAGTAGCAGACTATCGGGAGCAATTTGAGCACCTAGACAGCAGGGTGTAGCGATTATCAGATACGGTATTGGAGGGGAATTTCATGAAGGGGTTGAAGGCGGAGATCCGAGCAGCAGAGAAGGTTCTGATGTCTCATGACTTAGGGGAAGCCATGAAGTTGGCCCAGCTGGTTGAAAATCAGAGAAATCTGGAGAGGGGAGCCAGGAGTAGCAGCACAAGGGGCACTTACAGGCAATATTTTAAAATGCAAAATCGGGAATCAAGGCGTTTTGTCTAAGCAAGGCGAGGCGTAAGCCTCAAGGCAGATCAAGGCGTAAGCCTCGAGGCAGATCAAGGCGTAAGCCTCAAAACGGTAAAATAAGCTTATGTAAAATTATAAATAATAATAATAAATGACAAAATATGATTTGTTCTAAGAGAGAGAAGCAAGAAATTATTTTTATGAGGGCTTATGTATAAAATTATACTTAATATTTGTTTGACTGAAAGAATATCGTTGATGTTTATATCTGAAAAGAAAAATCTTTTCATAATATGTAATTTACTAGAATAAATTCCCATGAATAACACAGCATGATTTGATAAACTTTAGTGGGATTTAGTAAATCCTGTAAAACCGGATTTGATAAATCCTAAAAAGATTCAATCCTAAAAATTGTTTGGTATGTCAAATGATAAATCATGTTAAGTACAAGTTACTTGGTAATTATTATTAATACTATTAATTATATATTTAATAATATATATTAATTAGGCTAATTATATTAATATTTAATTAATAATTATATTACTAATTAGTCAATTAAGTTAAATTAGATAATTAATTTATGCACTAATTATAGTATTAAGTATTTAATTAATTTGCTTAATTATTAATATTTTAAATTATATTAATTAAGTTAATCAATAATAACTCTAGGGTTTGCCTTTTCTCTTTTCGTCCTTATTGTTTGACTTTGTTGCTTCGCAGGAAGTGTAGAGATTGCACACGTCGCTTCTTTGGCTCCTTTATGGCTGTTCAACTTCGCTCCTTCGACGAATTTTCCATCCTGTCGGAACGTAAGTTACGACATTTTGATCTGAAGAAACAACGAGAGCTCGCTAGCTCGCTGGCTGTGAAGGTAACGTTCTCCCTTTTGAGGCAGCAATGATGCCTCAATGCGCCTCAAACCTTGAGGCATCCTCCTTGAACGCCTTTTAATCCATGCTTACAGGATGACGACCATGCATCTAGCACCTAAAGGTCCTCCAATAGGAGGGAGTCGAGAGGCCACCAAGAAGAAGAGAGTAGGAGGAGGGAGTGGGGTAAATTTCAAGAAACTGACAGAAAAAGAGATGCAGGAGAAAAGTGCTAAGGGGTTGTATTTCAGGTGCGATGAAAAGTATACGCCAGTGTATCGATGCAATGACCAAACTCTTCAAGTTTTCACCGTCTGTGATGACGAGGAAACTGAGGGAGGTGAGGAGGAGATAGAGGACGAGATGGAGGAGAAGCTGGATTTGGATCTGGCCGAGGTTTCCCTGAACTTAGTGGTAGGATTCACTATGAATCATACCATGAAGGTGAAGGGGGAGATAGAGGACAGGGAGGTGGTGGTGCTGATTGATAGTGAGGCTACTCACAATTTCATTTCCACTCGGGTCGTCGACCAAATGGGAGTGAGACTGGTGGATACTGGTTGTTACGGAGTGATAATGGGTACGGGGAAGGTGGAGAAAGGCCAGGGGATTTGCAGAGTGCTACTAACTATCCAAGGGATTCAGGTGAGGGAAGATTTTCTTCCACAGGAGCTTGGGAGTACAGATGTCATCCTGGGGATTAAATAGCTGCAGACTTTGGAGACACCAAAGTGAATTGGGGAGCACTCATGATGGAATTGATGGTAGATGGAAGGAAGGTGGTGATAGGGGAGATGCAAAGTTATCCAAATTCATGGTTTCTATTAAAAATATGGTGAGGGTATATAGTTGGCAGATGGAGGATATTTGGAGTTGCAAAGTTTGAAGGGAGCGAGATGGGAAGAGGGAGGGGACATACCCCCTCTCCATACCGCCGCTGATTCAGCAATTCCAATTGGTGTTTCAATCACCTCAGTGATTGTCGCCGCAGAGGGAGCAAAAGCACGGCATCATTTTGAGGAAGGGTGTGTCACCCATTAGCGTACGGCCTTATCTCTACCCTTAGTGTCAGAAAGATGAAATTGAAAAATTGATTAGAGAGATGTTGGAGGCAAGAATCATCAAACCCAGCGGCAATCCCTTCTCTTGTTCGGTTTTATTGATGAAGAAGAAAGATGACAGCTGATGATTTTGTGTGGACTACAGAGCGCTCAACAAGAAAACTGTACCTGACAAATTTCCTACACCAGTTATTGATGAGTTGTTAGATGAATTGAGTGGAGCAATGATCTTCAGCAATATAGACTTGAAATCAGGATACCATCAGATCCGAATGAAGAATGAGAATGTACCCAAGATGACCTTTAGAACTCATGAGGGACACTATGAGTTCCTGGTAATGCCCTTTGGCCTCACCAATGCTCCAGCCACATTTCAGGCACTTATGAATAAGGTTTTCAAACCTTATCTCAGACGATTTGTATTGGTATTCTTTGATAACATCCTAGTCTACAGCAGGATAGAAGAGGAGCACTGGGAGCATTTAAAAAAGGTGTTAGAGGTGTTGCAGGAGCACCAGCTGAGGGCCAACTTGAAGAAGTGTTG